TGGGGAAACCACACAGGGGGACCCTATGGTTCAAAACAGATGGCCTTCATTCCCATATAGACATCACGGGTCCTCCGTTTGACCAAATACACTCGTTTGCAAACCAAATTGAACTTGACGGGAGACTCACCTAGAACGGAACCCAGCTGAATCCCTCTTTTATGATGTTTTTAAGCAACTGAATGCGCTGCGTTCGGCCGCATCATGTTTCACTTGGCACGATAATCGAGACATCACGATAAATTGTATGGACGTAATGCACTATTCCATGCATTTTGTGAACAACATGTACAAGTTTCCAGAAGGATGATTGGAATTCACTCTGAAGGAAGCACGAGGGCTGGGTTGCCCAAACCTAGACAAGGGAAGTCACGAGGTAGAGATCGGGTTCGAACCACGGACTTTCTGGTCACGGTAAATCCGCGCTCTAAGCACTTGGTCTTGGTCCATCTCGCCCCAGCCATATCTATCTGACCAAGTGATACAAAGTAACCTGTCCAGTGTCGAAAAACGGTCGAACGCCATTTGTCATGGAATGCTGAAGAGATCTTTATTCAACTAGCTGACCCCTCCATTCGCCAATAAAAAAACGCCGGGAATCTCTCGCGTTACTTTGACTTACCAATCAAGCGTTCTCGTCACTGAACAGATAGTATGGTGGTTTTTATGACTGTACAACAACAATACCGTATGTTAGTTAATCCTGGTTCTCCACTTTACCGCTTTGCTTTTCCAATAAGACACAACTGCGAACGATCGTTCTCAAAATTGTTGTATGTTTCATTATCGAAAGGGGATTTTTGACAAATAGAGTAGCATACTCCCAAATTACCATCGTTGGATTGCCAGGCTCCTTGAGGGTTGCCTAAGACACTCAACACTGGATCTAAGCCCATAAAAGACGGTTTCTTTTTAAAATGAATTGGCGCCATTCATTAGCCTGGTCTAAAATAGTGTGTTGAGCTAGCACTAAGTTCCTTCCCCGTCCATCTATACTCTTTTCTTTACTGTACGGCAGTGAAGCATCGGTGCTGAGCACTGATGTCATGTTGTTCTTGATGATGATGATGATGATGATGATGATGATGATGATGGTGATGATGATGATGATGATGATGATGATGATGATGATGATGATGATGATGATGATGATGTAAGGGAGTTTTTACTTGTAAAGTCCCATGTTTGGAAAAACGAAAATTCAGTATGCTTTGTAATGCGTCTTCTTACTGTTTTGTGTGCAGCCCACTTCCACGTATTTTGTGCATTAAACTGCGCTTTCGTCAACGATAATTTAGAACTCCATGAATTCTAAATGAATCCTTTAAAGATATGAAAATATGCTGGCAAAGCTTGACCCTGCTTGCGGCATCATGAAGTGTCATTTCGACGTCTTTCGGTCCAAAACGTTATTCGAATGAGGGCATCTATCATGGAGAAGTAGTTCCCGCTTTGTTAACTATCCCCTGGATTTGTTCGGTAAACATCAGAAGTTCCACTTTCCATCTAGCGTGTTTAACCGACTCCGTATTAAAAATTAGTTACTTTTAGGCGTATTATATTCGCCTCCCTTAGTTTTGCGCACACCAAAGTTGTGAAAACGGCTTCATAACCCCGCCAGTTTTATAATAGAAACTGGACAAGATCGAGTCACAAAGTGAACCTAAGGAGTTGAAACGCACATGTTCTCTCACTCAGTCTTGAAGAAACACATCGACCAAAGATCATCGCCATCCTTGGAACCCTGTCAATTCTTTGCTTACATGCAGAATTGATTCAAAACTTCTTATCGGTTAAAACCGCTGCACAACTTTTGCTTTCAGGAACTTTGAAAACTTCCAAGTATTCGATCCAAATAAGTGCTTCTACTTCCACGCGAATCGGCAATACTGGTCCGTGGACGATTGCACCGAGCGCACTCCGACAATTTGCAGTATACACTGATAGATCCGTCTGCCCTGTTTTCGCATCTTCATCTTGAAAAGACCATTGTAAATGCATTCAATACCGTGAACATGTCTTTGGAAGTCTTCCTTATTGTGGGCCCTCGCTGTCCTAATTCTAGGCGTTATAGGGTATCCTTTCACGCGAGATTGTATGGATTTATTCGGAAGCGCAGTCTGGTCGTACTTTGATGGGACTGCCTCGGCAGTAGGCCTGAAGACTGATGGTGATCCAGGTAGTCTAAAATGTCAGCACTAAGAAATGAACTGAATTCTTGAAGAAAACCTGGGGATGCCACTCTGGTGGGAAGATGCAACCCAGGTTACTCCCCAACCAAGGTAACTCTGAAATGCTTTCTGCTCAGATCTCCAGGCTTGGGCTGTCGTAACCGGTAGTTTGCTGTGTGGTATGACGGTGCAAGATGAGTTAGCTAACCACCGTCGTTTTCCCTCTGTAAACCACTAAAACTAGGTCCGATCAAACTAGTGAAGCGTGCAAAATCCACGTCCGGTGATTGTCTATTTGTCCCTACCCCCTAGGTAGACAGTGTTCCGATCTCCGCAAAAAAGTACTCATTTGACACACACACACACACACACGTATACTGACATCAGTTGCTAGCTTTAAAACTAGACAGTCATGGGGATTTGGTCACTTTGGTGTTTCTGTCCTACAATCAGCCACGACCTGGAAGTGCGTGCATGCTCCTATCGCAGGGAAGCTTAGTAACTGTGATGTGAGGTGAGTATGAGATTACACGCTACAAATGACGTCAATCTACACTGAAAATACAAGAAACACCACACACTTATTTTGCCCTTTCTGGGAACCGCCAGCATTGGGTTTCTAAGGTGGGGTGATCCGAACTCGGAAACTTCCGATTAGCAGCTGAGGTCCATACAACCTGACTACCGAAGTCCTGCCAGTAGTGTGATTCACTCAGACTTGGACAGGATATAGGACTGCTCCTTCAATCACTCGGTCCACATCACGTGGTCCCGTGTTAACTGGCTCCTGGATTGGCTTATCAGTTGGAAAGAACAGTCATGCAAGCGATATCTCTTCAACTTGCAAATATATAGCGATCAATGTAGACCAATAAAATCAACAGCAACAAAAAGGAAAACCCTTCGACAGCCTAAACACCGGTTTCGTCCTTCTTGAGGCTCCTCAGGTAGGCCAAGACTCAAGTTTTCAGTACTCTGATTTTCTACTTGAAAACCAAATCCACTTGGCTTGTTCGACTGCTGGTCAGTTCTTCATTCAGTATTCGTCCTAACACCGAGCGACTGGTAGTGGTCATACGTAGTCAAGCGTTAAACAGCCTGTGTTCAGATGAATCACTTAATTTCTTTCTCAACAGCTCAGTAGCTGCATCATCTTTGAAGAGTAATCGCAGGTTGGCACCTTTACGGCTGATCGAAAATGCACAGGCCAGATGTACTCTAAAGCCCCATTCTGGACAGATATAATTCGCCTTTTCATGGCTACGACGCAATCTTAAGCCAACTGACAATTTCGTAGCGATATATATAATGACTGCTGTCAAGCACATTCAGTATATATAGTGACTGCTGTCAAGCACATTCAGTCTCAATCAAGACTTACTGAATAAAAAAATGATTTCTCTGGCTGTTTTGTCAACAGGCATCCCATTATCAAACTCCAAAGAATTACTCTTGTGTTGTGCAATAAATGTGCAAGTTCCGTTTTTTGATATGCTAGAAATTATAAGAGGTGATAAGGAAACAGGGTCTTGTTTGAACCCAATTCTAGCCGATTTAGGTACGCCTAAGTGGAGAAAAACGGTGCTCATACCTGTATAGACGTAATACACTTCGACAGCCGACGACCGGTTTCGCCCTTCTTGGGGCGCATCGGGTAGGCTCAGTCCCCGAGTTTCCTTCAACCTCATGTTCTACTCATACCGGTTCAGAATTGAGTGCAAGAGGGTTGTGTGGACATCTGTGTAGTTTAGGCAAACCACAGATGTGCCGTGCAAGTTGCTCTATCTGCGACGTACCTTCAGAGAGGAGAGAGTAACTGAAATTTCGAATCAGAAACTCAAAGACACAGGTTTTTTCACTGCTACATCACTTAAGACCTTTACCAGTTACCCGAATTAGGACACATCTTTGTAGACTTTCTCATGCCACGTGGCTTGCCGCTGTGAGAAACTACAATATGGCGCGGACAGAGCCAATTCCAGAACTGTTTAAGAAACGAATTTCGTTATGCTGCTGAATTTTGCAATATTGTTCTTTATTTTTTAAAAGACTAAAAGCTTCACCCTCATCTAGTTAACGACGCACTACTCAGCTATTAAGGTTCTCCTCAAAATAACAAATAGGGTTAACCACGGGAGTGTTTAGGTAGCTGGACAAGAGAGTGACTTGATCGATGGAGATATGTATGCTGCAAACAAATCAAAGCGGTTATTTTGAGAATAATTCATTATGCGTCTGCCACGTGACTAAATAAAGAGGATCACAGTTGGCGAAATGGGGTGAGCAACTTATCTGCCCCCGGTTGTGTATGGTGTCCCCGATGTCTCATTTATGGAATAAAGCTCTTGAGTTTTAGCGAATATACACTCATCTGCAAACTAATTCGGATCGTTCGAGAGACTCACCTGGAACCCAGCTGAATCTCTCGTTTCTTGATGATGGTCTCAGGCAACTGAATGTGCTGCACCAGTCCGCCTCATGATTCAGTCACTGAGATATTCGAGATATCGCGATACATATATATTTCTGCAATGCACTACTCATAAGGTTGCTGAAAACTCCTCCTCTTGAGTTTTAGCATCTTCCGCCGGAATGAAACATCGAGAATTGAACCGATAGATCACGATTTGAGTACTGGGTCCCAAGGAAAGGCTGGTATAACAGTGTTGGCAATGAGCAAGGCATTTTGGAAGGTGGAAAGATACGAGCGTGCTTTTCTATCGCATTTCTGTGCACCGCACATACTATCGAGTCTCTGGGACAAAAGAGTTCTAAAGAAATTTTGAAAAACTGTTAGCACAGTGTGTATATTCTGACCTGAAAGCATAACTGGGCTTGAATGGGCAAATATAACAGCAAGTTTACTTTTAAACAGTGATCCATATTTAGTAACTTCAAAACGCATTCAGTGCAACAGTAGAGTACTACGGGGTTCCCCAATATCGAGAGGATAGAACGGAGCCGGATACATAGTATGGAATCCATAAAGACGGTCCACATATTCTGGGTGCAGAAAAAAGAATGCAGCATCATGACGTCTTGGCAGTTGCATATAGGGTTCTAGCACCCTCGGAGTGTTGGCCTTCACTTTGATTGTGACGGTTAGTGGGGAGGGCTGGGTTGGTCGAGTTTGTCTCTCCAGTTCTCTGGCCAAATCAGCAGTCTCCACGATTCGATGGACAGTAAGACGAGTGAGTATATCCAAAAGGCGCCTTTCTCGAACCAAATCGCGAAACTGTTCGATTAGCTGTTCTCGTCGAAACACATTCACCGTGTCACGGATCATCTGACCGGTTTCCGAATCTCTTATTCGTTGACCCGTCTCGACTGCTTGATTGGTGATTCGTCGAGCCAAAAGCGTTACAATCACGAGGGGTAGAAAAACAATCTGTGGCGGAGCGGGAAGATAGTGGTGGAATAACAACGCAAAGCGTCATCTCTTGAACAGTGATAAGAAAATCAGTGAACCTGAAAATTAGACACATTTCCACCTTATCTATAGGGAATCTACCCCAAGACGTCCCAGTTAAACGTCCTTTCATTAACCAGACTGCCAAAACCCGGCTGTCCGGATCATGATAAGTTTGCATTCAGCCTCCTCCTCAGAGTAGAAAATCACCATAAATTTTTAATCATTACCACCTGCCACTGTGGATTTGAAAATCTGGATTATGACACCACCTTTTGTCAACAGAGGATCTAGTTCAACACCCAGTCTAGATCAAATTCTAATCAGACCTCAGGGGTTTTGGGCGACAAAACACATTTGAATTTGGTGAAGCTTCTTCGGGGGTCCTTGGATCCCTTCCAGGCTCGGTCAAGGAAAGAGACAGAGTGTTTGGCTTGACCGAAGTTCAACGAATGTGGTTCTGAATGTAATTTCCTAAACCTTCTATCATTTGTATAATGGAACTAGTAAAAGAGACGATTGACGTTCGGGTAACCGTAATAACTCTAAGCACAAAATGACTGTCCAGGATCGAGCTCTGATCGTCTGGTAGAACCCATAGAAGCGTAACTTACAGTTTTCAGGACGCCGCAAGTCACCACAGTGGCAGATACAACTTCACGGTGAATTACACTGGGTTGACGTGCTCGCTGTTGGATTTGCATCCACGTTGAGGGTTGACTGAGTCCATAGAACAGAACTGCCGTCAAGGCGAACCCCAAAAGTCCCAATAGCATAGAGATAAATAACATGAGCGCCACCTCACTGTCTGTGAACCCCAGGTAGACAAGGTCCTAAAACGGAGAGAGGGACGGTAGACAGTATGGCAGATTTTATCACCGGCAATTAATTGTCCTCTAGTTTAAGCATAAAACGCTTCAAAAAGTGCTGACTGATGTGTACACAAGACAGTCTGCTGACGCAACTTAATTTGCTCACATTCATGTGAGCATGAACCCCCAGGACATTAAAACTCACGAGTTTGACAGGTCAATACGTCATGGAGGCCTGTCAAGTAGTACGTTAAGTTGAAACGTATTTTAAGATCAGTCGAAAAGCCAATTACTGTGCTTATCTTAGCTAGGAGCATGTCAAACTGAATACGTGCATTGAATCCTAAGTTTACGAAAGGACTCAGCAATAAAATGAGAGCACAAACAAAGAAATGAATAAACTTTATTTATAGACCCGAAGGAAGGAAGTTTATAGCTTGGACATTTTATACTTTTTGCTACTGTCCAGTATAAGAGTTTACGAAAGGACTCAGCAATAAAATGAGAGCACAAACAAAGAAATGAATAAACTTTATTTATAGACCCGAAGGAAGGAAGTTTATAGCTTGGACATTTTATACTTTTTGCTACTATCCGGTATAAGCGTTCGTACTACTTCCTACGAACTTTGAAACATCTAGCCGGCACAGGGCCTTTTGAGACAAGAGCAGTTCACATCAAGGTACATTTAAGAATATCCAGGAATTTTATGCCTTTGAAGTCCGAAATGAGGCAGGCGGAAACCTAGAGTCCACCTGCATTGTTTCTCCAACATTCATGCCTGCTGATATTACACCCCATCACAGAATTCATTGTTCTCTCTCACTCTGACATCACTTTTGACTGAACCCAGAAGTCTTCTCCACAGTGATATCAGCTGATGTGTTGGTATAACTGAACGTGACTGTTTGGAGTATACCCGCACACCAGCTGAGTCAATTACCTTTCTCAGTAAGACGCCGTCAGCTTCGACGCAGTACATAGCCCAGGTTGGCAAATGTGTCTACGGAACTCACTCTTCAAGTTGAACGATCAAAAGTACAAACAAAATGTACTTTTATAATGAGATTCCAATACACTCCGTCACCTTGAGCCCATCCCTCTCTTACATTGAGCTTCAGTTGGATTTTCAAACCGGCCGAATTTACGGATTCATTGTGTGTAAAATTTTTGTGTTCCTTGGCACGCGATATGTGTAGTCTTTCCGAACCTTTAATAAACTATGTGACTACTTTTGTTTTTCAATTGGCGGTGAGATAAAACCAGGTCTCAACGCTTTGGACTCATCCTTCTATCGGAAGCCCGAAAATTCCAACGAGGCTATAAACTTCTATTCAATTCCAAGAAACGTTTTAGGCAATTGCAACTATAACCTATCAGTACTGGCAAGATTTCCATGTGCGAAACTTGATATAATAAAGACAACCCGCTGGCGAGTTTAGTCCCGTTGCCAGGTAACCATATGGATATGATGCCTCAACACCTTAGCACTTCGGCTGGTGCTAGATGATTACAGCACGTGGACAGTAGCTCATCATGACTTCTTGTACAAAGAAAATCCTATTCCTGAAGACCATCATACGAAGTGTGTTTAGACGATGCTGCGCAAAAACATTCTGTGTTCTTTGTACTGGACAACCGTCCAAGTAACTGGGGATAGGGACCATAAAATTTTCAATGAATCTGACACGGTACCGGGTGCTTATCCAGATCGTTCGCTTCTAGAAGAGCAAAACCGATCGTGGGCTGTCGAACAGCCTTATGAGTAGTATATTGCGTCTATACACGTGTTGAGATATCTCGAATATCGTAACAACCCAAATATGAGGTGGCCTAGTGCAGCACATTCAGTTACCTGGAAACATCACAAATGACAGATTCAGCTGGGTTCCAGGTGAGTCTCCCGGGAAAATTAAATTGTTTGCCAATGAATGTATTTCGCCAAGCTCTAACTGAGCTTCTTTTGTCGAACACTGATTTCGCACAATGAGTCCTACAAGTGTCCGATATTGGACGTTCACTTGGCATGGAGATTCGTCCCTGGACGTTCAATAAAAAAGCCACTCGAGGAACTTGCCCTCAGGGAGATGTTGTTTTTGTACACTGGTCTAATGTGTCTAGTGAGTGAATATAACCGATTTCTCGCATCTGTCGAGACCGTAATATCGTCAACCGACACACGATCAGATGGACTGCAGATTCGAACCTTTCACTTACAAGTTAGAAGTGATATGACTGCTATCGCTTGTCATCTACTTATGCTGCCCTTTCAGTGCCCAGACGCCATTCTTCCCGAACGAAGCATGAGAGCTGCCAGGTTGCTCAAGTCTAGACAGGAGCAGTCGAGACACCGAGGGTGGGTTCAAACCATGGATATTCCGGTCAGTAAATCCGCACTCTAACTGATCAGCCGTCTCGAGTTCATACGTTCCTCCTGAAAAACATTCTGCGATTTGAAGGGAATCTTTATGTAACTGTGTTACTCAAAACTGAGGGGGACGAGTCAGTGATGCTCTGTTGTTTACGACTGAAAATCGCAGTTGGTCTATCCGAAAGTTTCCATGGACCACTCGCCCACATCATATTACTGCTTCTATTGACTCTTCGTTACTTTTAAAATTAGACGCAACTAACCAACCTCCATTTGAAAAAAAATAAATCAAAGGAAACGAAATCGAAAACACGCAACCAGTAATGAATCTCCTACTGGTGATTTGTTCATCCGCCAAAATCCGAACAAGTGTACATTCCCATCTACTGTGCTGAAAAGAAGGATCTACACAAATACCAGGAACATCCTGTTATAAACTTAAACGATGTCCCTCACAAGCGGAACACCAGGTTCGGTAACTTCCTACCGCTACAAATCATTCGCAATTCCAAAAAATTTGGTGCGCTTCTGTGGATAATCCCTTTCGAAAGCCAACAAATTCCCTTCCCTTAGATGTTGGGCCGAAATCCCATTTTAAACATTTAGGTAGTAGAAAAACCTGCTAACGCATTGAGAAGCTATAAACCCAGAAAAAACACCTAGCAGTTATCCGGAGAAATTCCAGTTTGAACAACAGAATGATGCGATCATTATTCGCACAACTTTAGGAGAAGTAATCATCGAAAGAGAACTCTGAATCAGGTTACATGTCGTAGTTACATCTACAAAAGCTATCGACCGAGTTAGCATTGTGAACTATGGGGACTATCGGAGCGAAGCGAGCTTTCTTGTCTTCTGATCAAAACTGGACTTCTCCTCTCCCTAATTTGTTACATCTAATCTATAGCAAACTATGCATTTCACCTCTAGCTGCCTGATGAT